TCATATGCATACAAAAACTGGAGAGCGAATAAGGAAGATCGTAGAAGAATTGATGCTTTTGAGTTATGGTGCTGGAGGAGAATACTGAAAGTGCCATGGGCTGGCAAAAGAACCAACAGATGTGTGTTGGAAGAAGTGCAGCCAGAGTGCTCCTTGGAGGCCAGGATGGCCAAGCTTCATCCCTCATACTTCAGACATATTGTCAGCAGGGACCAGTCACTGAAGAAGGATATCATGTTTGATAGGGTGGAGGGTCAGAGAAAAAGAGGAAGACCCCCAGCGAGATGAGTTGGCAAAGTGGCAGCATCAATAGGCTCAAGCGTGACAACAATAGTGAGTTTGGCCCAGGATCTGGCAGTGTTTTGTTCTGCTGTGCATAAGGTTGTTATGAGTTGGTACTGACTCAATGGCACCTAACAGTAACAACAACATAGCACTTCAGGACTCTTGGTGTGCCACTGTAGGATCAACACTGGACTGTGAACCACAAGGTCAGAAGTTCAAACCCACCAGCTGCTCCTTAGGAAATCTATCAAGAGTCAGAACCAATTCGACGGCACTTAACAAGAAGATAGTACTTCATGATTTTTGTTTTGTTTTAAAGAAAAAAAATACTAAGTAAAAGTTAATATTCAAGAAGCCATTTTTCAGTTATTTTCAGACCAGAGGAAAATAACTAAATGTGCTTGCTTCTTGTCCTGAGTGTTGGAAACGTCACAAGAAAATGCAACTCCCCCACAAGTGGCTCCAGTTTATTCCAGGAATTATTTCTAGATTAAATAATCCAAGTTTATGTAATAGTTCTTGGCAAAAACAGCCTAAGGTTCCGTAGGCTGCACTAACTTATAATTTAAGAGGATGAATTTAATTTTGTGACTCAACAACCACCATTGGAAAAATATATCACTGAGCCATTAAAAAGACAATCTATGATGCGTAACAGTCACAAACAAAAGATAGAAGGAAGAAAATATTTCTGTAAGCCAGGCTACTTGGAAGTTTATGATGATAAAACTCTTTCTTGTTCAGGAAAATATCACTGCTTATCTCCTGAGCAAGCTGACAATATGGTATCAAATATCATTATAATCAAAGATTTCTAAGGCTAGAACTCTAACCTTAATCTCTAACTCTAATTGTTGTGTTTAAAGACTTGGAATTATATTCTTATGTTTCATAACTACTTGTGTGCCAAGCCCTCCCAATTGCCCCTCTTAATTTTTCAGAAAATATAGTTTATAGAGTTTTATGAAAAAAGAGTAGAAGGCTTCTTTGAGGCTTTTCTTTGTATTTTCAAAACCTACAAACTACTCTTTTTCATTTCCTCATGATCAAAATATGATGATGGCTCCTGACTGGTCTTCTCAACCCATGGTCTCCTCACATCAGTACGCCCTGTAAGAAGAGCTCAGATCATCCTCAGCAAGTACATATTGCCTATGTGTGGCTCAATCTGTTTAAGAACTGAGAGATGACAGACTCATCAGCCTGGCCTTCAAAATATCCCCTCAACTCAAATCTACTGAACTCTTTGCTTAGTCTGATCTCCACACTTTCCCCACATTTTGATCCGTGAACACAATCTGCACAAATGTATTTGGCATCATGGCTGCACTGAGCTAGTGTTTCCTAGTTTCTCACAGGGAAACATACTCAGTGAAGGGACAAAGTATGGACTCAGTATATTTTCACGATTATGATTTTTTTTTTCTTTCCCACAACATGAGCTCCTCAAAGGCATAATTCTCATGGCTGACATCCTTGGAAAAAAGAGCAGAGTCTCTTGATCATGCAAATAGTTAATGTGCTTGGCTGCTGACCAAAAAGTTGGAAGTTTGAGTCCACCCAGAGGCACCTTAGAAGAAAGGTCTGGCAATATACTTGTGACAAACCAGCCACTGAAAACCTTACGAAGCACTGTTCTACTCTGATACAAATGACAATACCATAAGTAGTAATAAACTTGATAGTAACTGTTTGGTTTTTTTAAATACAATATGGGCAAGTTTACCTATTTTCATGGTTAGTATTCTTGAATAAAAACACACTGGAAGGCTTACCTCTCCATCAAGAGTCTGTAAACCATACTGCTCACAGATGGAGACCAGCTTCTTTTGGTTCAGGTGGCCATCACGGGTGATCCCCAGATCTTCACAAACCTCTTGCAGCTTCTCTTCTATCCAGTCTTGGGGAGGGGAAGATCCACTCTGCGAAGCATTCAAGTCATCTGGGTTCCAAAACCTTAACTGGCCTAAAACAAAGGCATGTATTGTGTTGTCTCCAAACAGATCATACAGAGAGACAGCTTATTCTTTGAAAATATAAGAAGAAGACATATAAATGTCAGTTCCATTTTTATTTGATCCTGGAACTCAAATGAAATGGAACAAGTGGTTTTTAAAGCTACAACTAGAACATATAAGTACTTTAGATCATTTTGGGTACAATGCTGCACAAAGTTTTGTCGCTGTTTTTAAGTACCGTGGAGTCGGTTCGGAGTCATAGTGACACTGTACAGGGTTTCCGAGGCTGTAAATCTTTACAGGAGCAGAAAGCCTTATCTTTCTCCCACAGAATGGCTGGTAGTTTGAAATGCCGACCTTGAGGTTAGCAGCCCGATTCGTAACCAGTTTTAGGCTTGTTTTATTCCAACTGAAATAAGCACACGCTTAGGCTTAGTGTAAGGAGTTCTGGTAACCTAGTGGTTATGAATCGGGCTGCGAACCTCAGGGTCAGTAGTTCAAAACTACCAGCTATTCTGTGGGAGAAAGATGAGGCTTTCTGCTCCTGTAAAGATTTACAGCCTCAGAAACCCTGTACAGGGTCATTAGGAGTCGGAACCGACTCCACGGCACATAACAACAACAACAGGCTTAGTGTGATTATAAGAGAAGGCTGGTTGATAATCTTTCCAAAGTACTTTAAAAACTCAGTCTTAACTATGGCTACCAGCTGATATTATCTCCATTTTCTTTCCAAAAGAGGGTTTTTTTGTTTTTTGTTTTTTTTTCTGAGGAGGTAATTTAATATTAAAAGTTTCATGGTTAGCCTACTCCTAAATCTTTACACACACAAATATTCTGACCTACCTACAGTAATGAAACGATCCAAACTGAACCATGATTGCAAATTGAAAGTTCCTGGTTACTGATAGATTAAGGATAAGCTCTATTTGAAGACTTAAGGCTCAAACTGATTATTTAAAAATCAAAACCGTATATTTATCCTCCTTTAAATGTTCTCGCTTCTACTGAAATCTTTCACTTATATATTAGAGGTTCTGCGAAGTCATCACTTAAACAGAAGATAATTATTGTCACAATTGGTATGCCTGGAAGAACCCTGTAGAACTGAGAGAACATTTAATGCTATCCCTGCTATTTATTGACAGAAATTAAGCCCATTACTACAGTGTTTTTCCAGGTTAGAAACGGAGAGAACATGCTACAATTATATTTAAATACAATTAACCTGGAGCAGGCTGTGAGGCTCTCAGTCAACTGAACCATATTGCCATCTGGTGGCCAGAAGGTCAATGTGTTTTTATGCTGCTTAAAATACATCTGAAACCTGTCCAAGGATGCATTCTAATGTCACTGTTTAGTTCAGAAGAGTCACTGGAGGGTGCAAATGGTTAATTCACTGGCTGCTAATGAAAATGTTAGCAGTTTAGTCCACCCAAAGGTGCCTTGGAAAAAAGGCTGACCATCTACTTCCAAAAAAGTCAGCCATTGCAAATCTATGGAGCACGGCTTTCCTCTGACATATATGAGGTCATCATGAGCTGAAATCAACTCAACCACAAGGAATTATTTAGTTCAAGATTGTTCACAAATTAATTAAAAAGTCTAAAGAAGGCAGTGATTAACCCATAAGTAGAATACTCGCTAGCATTTAACAGAAGTACCTTAGCGTTCACCACTTGTACTCAGTTAAATGCTAGTATTTTAACAAGAGGAGCTACTTTTATTGTTGCTGCTGGTGCTCCTCCTGATAATTTCCAACTGGCCTCCAGCAGGTAAGGCTGTAAGGCACGATATTAAGCGATACTGGAAGGTGGGTGTTGGGAATATCTAGTGAATGGCAACCCTTCCTTCCCAGGTCCCCCAACACACTAAATTCTTACCTTCTGCTTCATATTCTTCACTATGTTGTGTCTTCCAGTGCTAGAGAAGGTAAGAGGAAAAGATGAGCGTAGTTAAGAACCTATTCATAAAGAACTATCCTATAATCTCCATGACCAGGTTACTCTTCGGCTCTGAAATTGTCAGGAGCAGTAGGAATACATGGTTTTATGGGCTTTCCAGTACTTTCATCCAGGTGGCTCATCCTCAGTCAAACAGCTCTTCAGGAGGACACTCAAACACCACACAATCTTCTGCAGTTAAGTTACTAAGCATTTGCAAGATCACTTATTTACTCAACAGTAAAACTGACCACAACAACTAAGCCAAGCAAAATTTCAGAATCCACCAACCAACAGAGGTTTACATGCATGTAATTTGTAAATTTGTTCGTCAATAAATATTTGTTGATTGTTTTTGTGCCATGGTGTTATGGTAGGCTCTGGGAGTATGATTGTGAATAGGAGAAGCATACTTCCTGCCTCAAGAAGTTTATGTGTTAATAAATAAAACAGGATGTACAATACTGTAGTATGTTAAGTGTTATGACAAAGAGCCTTGGTGGTGCTGTAGGATAAGCACTGGACTGATAACTGAAAGGTCAGCAGTTCAAACCCACCAACCAGGCCTCAGGAAAAACAAGAGGCTTTCTGCTTCTGTAAAGATGTACAGCCTTGGAAACCCTCTCAAGGATCACTGAGTTGGAATGGGCTTGATGGCACTGGATGGGTTTAAGTGTATTATGGGAAAGTCCATACTTTGAGGGTACCTAAATGAAATACTTCAGACTTGGTAGATCGAGGTAGACTTCCTGGAAGAAGGAGTGTCTAAATTGAGATCTGAAGAATAAGTCTGAGACCGTTGTTACAGACTGTGTCCCTCTGTCTCTAAAAAGATAAACTGAAGTTCTAATCCCTGTCCCAGTGAATGTGACTTTGTTAGGAAAAGTGAGATTTTTTTTGAAGATGTTAGCAGTAACATCATACCAGTGTAGGATGGCCCTGTTTCTAATCCCTTCTGAGTATCCTCTTATGAAAGAGGACAGACATGGAAACGGAGTTACACGTAGAGGGAAGACAACATCTACAAAGGCAGGAACACCAAGAAATACCCAAGACTGTCAGAAGTTGACTGAGTGTGTAGCCCTGCTAATGGCCTGAATTCGCATTTCTACAGGTCAGAATGAAGTCCTGGTATGGTGCTGTAGGATAAGCACCTGACTGTTAACCACAAGGTCAGCTGTACAAACCCAGCAGGAAAACCTCTACAAGGTTGCTAAGAGTCAGAACTGACTCAAAGGCACTTAACAACAACAATGCCCTGGTGGCACACTGAGTTAAGTGTTGGGCTGTGAACTGACAGGTTGGCAGTTTGAACTTACCAGCTTCATGGTAAGCTGGAATGGAAAATGAAAAATTTCTACAAACATGTGACAGATGGAAACTGGATTAGGGCACAGTACGATATTTGGATCTTATTATGTTTGTTTGTGATTATAATTTTATCAGCTTGCTCAGTCCATATTTCTACACAAAGATGTATCTCCAAACTTGTAGAATTATGGAGCGTGGTAGAGCAAAAAGACCTCTATCATTCAGAAATAACACTGTTATTTCTGGATAGAATTAAACTGCTTTATTTAAAATTTTTAAAATCATAAAGACCTCACTAATAATAGTATCTTGCCTGCCTCTCCCTCCACACTCATTTCCTCATCCAGCAGAATAAATTATTTAAAGACTCACACAACCTAGACATCCAAAATGTGCAAAAATTATTATTTAATATCTAAGCTGGAACCACCCAAATGTTAAACCCACTATCTCCATGTAAAACAAAATAGGATTTTTATGATCTCCTTAAGATCTAAGATAGTAAAAAAAAAAAAAAAAAATTGCAAGCTGGGGATAAAGTTTAATTTTAAGCACAAATTAATGGGGGAAATGGCTAGAAAATACACAGACTACTGGACCCAACACAAAAGAGAGCCCAGCTGCTGGGTCATATAGATATAAAAATATAGCACACAGACACAACTTCAAAAAAACCTTTGGTAACATTTCTTAAAGCAAAAGGTGTGTATCTTACAGGATTAAAAAAAGAAGTTTATTATATTTACTCACTCAATTCTCAATTCATCTTAAAATAGGAACAATTAGTTCAGAGAAGCAAGATGCTCAGTATATTGTTTCCAGTGTCTTGTGAGTCTAGCAGGGCAGGGAGCATGTTCTTGATTTACTCCCCATGACAGCTGTTACCTGCTGACTCCTTTTCCTGACCCTCACCCCTAACTTAAAGAGGTTAAGCAAAGAGATTTTTAGGTAGTTAGAACAGGAAAAAGAGGTTAACCACAATCAGCCACAAAGAATGCAGGAACGACCTGACCTCAAGAGAGTCTACTAATAGGAAATATAGAAAAGGGGACTTTCACCAAAATCAGGCTACTCTGTTTCGCAGAGTGGAATCTCTTCAGGCAAATCTATTTCGCAGAGTAGAATAGGACTGATCTGATGTGAACAAGGAACTAATCATAATACCACTATAATAAATCAGCATTATGGTTAGCTCATAAATACAACTGTAACAGACTGATGTAATGGGAAATAAGTATATCAGACCCAGGAAGAAATGACCAATTATGAGCCCTAAATTATGATGGGAAAATGTAGGAATCAGGAGACCCAGAGCCTGACCCAAAGGACAACAACATAAGTAAACCAGGAACTCATGCAACACAACCCTAATTCACGTGTAGAACCCGTTCTCCTGTCTGTGAGAACATATATATGTGCTTTGCCTATGTTTGCTAAATCTGCTTGCTTCAATCACTGTCTCTCTGGATCCTTTTGTGTGTGTATTGTGCCTATGTCCTACCAAATGTTTGGAGAGGCATTAGGACTGAACCAAGATGATTCATCTGCACTGTGACAAGATTACAACACACAATGCCTGGTTCCAAATGTTGCTTTACTTCCTCGGTTGGGAAAGTTTCTTAACCTTTTTTGCTTTACCTTCTAGATCTATACAATGGAAATACAGTAGCACATATTTCACAGAGTTGTGGTAAAATGCTTAGAATTCTGCCTGGCATATAAAAAGCACTATAAGAATTTGCTATTTCAAAAAAGATGGAGACATCCTAAACGCCCATCAATGGAAGAGTGAATAAACAAACTTTGGTACATATACACAACAGAATACTATGCAATGTTGAAAAATAACCACAAATCTGTGAAACACCTCATAACATAGATGAATCTGGATGACATGATGCTAAGCGAAATAAGTCAATAACAAAAGGACAAATATTGCATGCTAAAAGAAACATTCTTTGATGGTTACAGGGGTGGGAAGGAGGGGAGAGCTAGTCATTCACTGGCTAGAAGGTGTTGTTAAGTTTCGTTGAGTTGGTCCCAACTCATAGTGACCCTGTACAGGATTTCTGAGGAGCAGTTGGTGGCCTAGAGGGTAGACACATGTTTTACTAGGGTGACAGGAGGACAATGTACAAAAAAGGGGAGATCTGAAGAAGAGTGAAGATAGGTGAAGACACAATGCAAGGGTTAAAGGGGATAGAGGTAAATACTGTTATATACACAACCCTGGAACAACAAAGTTCTATGGGCAGATACATGGACAGATAACGCAGATCAAATGGGTATGGGAGGAAGAATGGAATATACTCAGAACTGTCTGAGTTTGACAGAGAATATTTGTGTATGGGTATTTAGCTTTGCTGAAAACAAATCTATGAATGTGGTGGAGCACTGTTATTGTTAAGTGCCGTTAAGTTGGTTCTCACAGTGACCCTGTATAAGATTTCCAAAGAGCAGTGGTGGAGCATTCATGGGGCAAAATAAGGAAAACTTTTTAGATATTACCAAACATTTTAAGGCAATGAGTTGCTGGGCCTAGGGGCTCACAACCATAGTCTCAGAGGACACCATTGTCAATTGATATAACATAGTCCACAAAGACATCCTACTTTGGTGAGCAGAGACTGGAATCTTAAAAGCTCATGAGCAGCCACATCTAAGGCACAACTATTGATCTCTCTAGTATGAAAGAAAGAAAAGGGATAAAAACAAAAGATACTTGGAATTAATTAATCCAGTGGACTAATGGAACATGTGAACATCAGTCTCCACAACTCTGAGAGTGGAAGAACTAGATGGTGCCCAACTACCACTGCCAAATGCTCTGAAAGGGACAGGGTGGAGAAAACATGGAACTAAACTCAAAATTATAAAAAAGACCAGGCTTACTGATCAGAAAGAGACTGGAGGAACCGGAGACAATGGCTCTTGGTCACCTTTTAGTTATGGAATAAAATTTACCCTTATGGCCCAACTTTCAGCTAAGTAGTAGATAGGTACCCACCACTAGTCTGTCAGATTGTGGGACTGTGGTGACTTGCATGTTGCTATGATGCTGGAAGCTATGCCATGGGTATTTAAAATACAAGCAGGGTCACCCACAGTGTACAGGTTTTAGCTGAACTTCCAGACGGACTATTTCCAAATATTTCGTCCCTGAAAGCCTTATGAATAACAGTGCAACACTGTAATTACCAGAATATTGAACACTGAAACATGATGAAGAGCACCAGAATATTATGAGGTACAATGCCAAAACATGAGCCCTTTACGCTGGAAGGCACTCAAAATGCAGCTGGGGAAGAGCTGCCTCCTCAAAGTAGAGTTGACTGTGATGATGAGAATGAAGTAAAACCTTTGGGATCTTCATTTGCTGATGGGGCACAACTCAAAGTGAAGAGAAACAGCTGTACACACCCATTAACAATCAGAAAATGAAATGTATGAATCAAGGAAAATTGGTAATTAGCAAAAAATTAAATAGACACATAAACATCGATATTCTAGGCATTTAGTGAGCTGAAATGACTGACACTGGCTATTTTGAATCTGACAATCACATGGTTTACTATGCTGGACATGGCAAATTTGGTGAGGAATGGCATTGCATTCATCATCACAAAGGACATATAAAGATCTGTCTTGAAGTACAACACTGTCTGTGAT